GTGTGTGTGTGTGTGTGTGTGTGTGTGTGTGTGTGTGTGGTATGTGTAGGCAGACATTCTACCACATGGAGGTCAGAGGACAAGTATGTGGAGTCAGTTTTCTCCTTTCACCTTTATGTGAGTTCCAGCCATTGAATTCGAATTGTTAGACTTGTATAGCAAGAACTCTTTTTTTTTTTTTGTCTTTTTGAGACAGGGTCTCCCTGTAGCCCCAGCTGTCCTGGAACTATGTAGACTAGGCTGGCGTTGAACTCACAGAGATCCACCTGCCTTTGCCTCCAAGTGCTGGGATTAAAGGCATGCGCCACCACGCCCGGCAACATTGCAAGAACTTTTATCTATAGAGCCATCTCAATGGACCTCAAATATCATTTTGATGGGCCATCTTTTTGCTACCAACCCAAAAGCTTTTTAAAGCCAGAATCTAATAATGAAGAGTAAATATATACTATAAAACACAATGAAGTAAGGCTAGGGGTGTAGTTCAGTTGGTAGAGTACTTACCTAATGGGCAAAAGCACTACCTAAAGGGGGCATGGTGATACATGCCAGCCTAGGTTACCTGAGACCCTGTCTCAAAATTTAAGAGGTAGAGACTGTAACATCAGGTATTAAGGCAGATGAGAGACAAGGAATGTTCTTACCTCTGGACAGCATCTTCCTTGGGACCTTTTCTTTGTTTTTGTCCTTGTCTTCCTTTTCTGAGACATCCTTTGTGGACTTTTCCTCCTCCTTGTCAGAAGGGCAACTGATGTGCAATTGAATTATATCCTTAAACAAAAGGAAAGAGGCATATATAATTAAAGAGGGAAAAAAACTTAAACTCTCCCTCAGAATTTCAATGAAAGCAAATCTTGGGATGGCACCTTTATCTTCTTTTTTAAAAATTTGGGGGGGCTGGGTGGGTATGTGTGTGTATGGGTGGGTGGGTGTGCCAGAGTGTACTTGTGTAGGTCAGAGAACAACCTCAGATGTTGGTTCTCAACATCTACCTTGTTAGAGATAGGGTTTCTTGTTTGCAGTAGTATGTACCAGGCTACCTGGCCTTCAAGCTTCCAGAGACTCTCTTGTCTTTGCCTCTTATCTCACTGCAGGAACTCTATGTAGGTTCTAGGCATATGAACTCAGGTCCTCAAGCTTGTGTGGCAAGTGCTTTACCCACTGAGTCATTTCTTTAGTTCCAACTTTATCTTATAGAAGAGTACATGTTAATTATTTTGTTTTTTGTTTCACCAAGAGGGTAGAGGTCAAGCTTTTTTGTCAGCCATCACAGCTTATTATAGGAAGAGTTTAAGTTACACTAGCTAACTTTATAAAGAGTGTGGCTGGCAAAACACGATCGGTTCTAGGATCTCCTTGTGTGTATTAGGCCACATGGTCAAGATAGTAAGACCATATTTCCTGATTTTACCATGCTTTGCCTTACCATAAGTGCTTTTGTTTGGGGGCTGGAGAGATGGCTCAGTGGTTTATAGTGTTTGCTGCTCTTCCAAAGGACCTGAGTTCAGTTTCCAGCACCCACCTCAAAACTGCCTGTAACTCTAGCTCCAGGGGATCTGATGCCCTCTTCTGGCTTCTGTGAGCACCAGCAAGCACATGCACAAACACACATATGCAACACACACAATACACATAAATAAAAAAATAATTTAAAAAATTTTAAGAGGCTGGAGAGATGGCTTAGTGGTTAAGAGCACTGGCTGCTTTTGCAGAGAGCCTGGGTTCAGTTTCCAACACTCATGTGGCAGCTAACAACAGTTCATAACTCCAGTTCCAAGGGATCTGATACCCTCTTCTGACCTCTGCAGGCATTGCATGACATGGGTGCACTTACATACCTGCAGGCAATATACTCAAAATTTAAAAAGAAATTTTTTTAAAGAGGCCAAGTGAGCTGAGCATGGTGGCATCCCAGCGCTCAGGAGGCAAACGCAGACAGATTTCTGTGAGTTCAAGGCCAGCTTGGTCTACGCAGTTAGTGCATTCTAAGCCAGCTGGGGCTACAGGGAGACCCTGTCTCAAAAAGACCAAAAAAAAAAAAAAAAAAGGCCAAGTGTGGTGGCACATGCCTTTAGTCTCAGCAGTTGGGAGGCGGGCAGATTTCTGTGAGATTGAGGCCAGCCTAGTCTACATAGTGAGTTCCAGGCCTGCTGGGGCTACATAGTAAGACCCTGTCTCAAAAAACAAAAGACCAAAAAATTTTTTTTCTTTTTTTTTTTTTGCAAAAGATCTGGTTTTAAAGTAGTACCCTTTATTTTGGCCTTTGTGGGACACATCTGTAATTCCAGCCTGAGAAACTGAGGTGGGAGGATCAGAAGTTCAATGTCATCTGAGGCCAGCTTGAGATATATAAGACTCTGTTTCCAACAAAACAACATACTTTCTTACTTGATTTTTCAGCCTGATATCCATGCTGTGATTGCGACTTACCAAACAATTGCCAATGCTCAAAGCTACTTAGGTTTATAAAGGATTTACCTACCTGTGTTTCTACTGGCCCATCAGCAAATGGGGTGGAAGACTCCTCACATACTGCCAGACTTCGTACCAACTTGAGCTTGGAATTAGACTGAAATAAACAAAAAACCAAAAGCCTATTTCATATATATATTCCCTTGGTGAAGATTCAGGAAATACCTTAAGATTCTGTTAGCTGCTGCTTCCGCTTCTATTAAATTGTGTTGTTATTTTCTAAATAGGTCTACTTGTCAGTGCCTAATTCACTCGAAAGGTAATTCTCAGTAAACAAGTGGAGGGGAGGGGAAAACCTGAAGAGATGGTAGAGAAATCACTTTACTTCACCTTGCTCTCTCTCTGGCACAGTGAAAGTGCTGGGTGGTGCACACCTTTAATCCCAGCACTTGGGAGGCAGAGGCAGGTGGATTTCTGTGAGTTCAAGGCCAGCCTGGTCTACATAGTGAGTTCTAGGACAGCTGGGGCTACAGGGAGACCCTGTCTCAAAAAGACAGAAAAAAAAAATTGAAAGTTTACTACATATACACAGCAGCACTTGCACTATAAAAAGATACTGGACTTGAGAACCAAAGTCCTAGCTTTAATTCCATATGTTGTACTTAAAAGCTGTATGCTCATTTAAGTGAGAATGTCCCCATAGGCTCCAAGTATGGAGGCACTTGGTCCCCATTTGGTGGTGCAGTTTGGGGAAAATCGCGGAACATTTAGAAGATGTGATCATGCTGGAGGAAGCAGGTCACTGAGGGTGGGCTTTGAGTAGACAGCCTCACCCCATTTCCAGTCTCTCTTTCCTTCCTGTGACTCCCTGAAGACATGAGTGCTCAACTTTCTGTTCACACTTCCTCCTGCCATGCCAACCCTGCCAAGACAGAATCTTATCCCTCTGAACTGTAACCCCAAACAAACTCTTCCTTCTGTAAATGGCCTTGGTTATGGTGTTTTATTACAGCAATAGAAAAGTAACTACTACAGGCTGTTAAGATTTTAAGTTACTTAACTTCTCTAGGTCTGTTTTTCTTCAATAAAGTTAAGATAAAAATATCTAAAGGGGTTGGGCATGGTGGCACATGCCTTTAATCCCATCTCAAAAAGACAAAACAACAACAACAACAACAACAACAACAACAAAAAACCCCAGAACAAAACAAAAAAAAACCCAAAACAAAAACAAACCTAAAGGGCTACTGTGACAATTAGAAGATATAAAGTATGCAAACATACATATCATTAGGTAGTACTTAGCATACAGTAGACAAAGATAATGACTTTAAACCTGAAGTGGGAAGAGTATGAAAAGAAGTTATCTAAGAAAAATCATACAAAGACAAAGACATAACTTGGTAACACTCAACATAATGATATACAAAAAATTCATCCACTGGGCATGTGGTATATAACTGTAATCCCCACACTTGGCTAGAAAGTTGAGACTAGCTTGATATACATGAGACCTTGTCTCAAAACAAAACAAACAAAAATAACAACAAAAAATTAATATACGTGCTTTACTTCTATTGGCTGGTGAATCCTAAAATGATCTAAAATCTACTATGCAAATCACTGCTTTCTTAAGGATCCCCAAAGCCAAAATGCAGAGTGACCCAACAGAAATTTATCTATCAACATTTCCTGAGGTCTTACAATAAAACCAAGGTTTACCAGGAATATAAAAGCAAAAAATGTGATACAGGTATTCCACATAGGATAGGCAGAAAATTTTTTAGTATAAAGTAAAACAAATTAAACGTAATTCTGCTATCAACTACTAAATGTCCTTTGCTAAGTCCTCTCAGTCCCTATAACTCAAGTTTTCTCATATGCAAATGAGAAAATAACAATTTTATATGCCTCAAAAAGTCTGGAAGGCCTAAGATAGTAGTGAATACCTTCTGCTATTCTGAAGTTATATTTTTTACATTTAATTGTGTGTGTGCATGCGTGCGTGCGTGTGTGCGTGCGTGTGTGTGTGTGTGCGCGCGTGTGTGTGTGTGTGTGTGTAGCAAGCATGTGAAAATCTGAAAAAACTTTCTTTGTCCCTTCTACCATGTGGGTTCTGAGGATCAAACTCAGGGCATCAGACTTGGCAGCAAGTACCTTTACCTGCTGGACCTGGTGCTCTAAACTTTAATGTCAAGACCATCACTGGTAGATTAGTCCACATGAAGATACAGAGTCAATTTAGTATACTTTTTTTTTTTTAAAAAGCAAAAGTTTACTTTTATTATAATGTACAAGACTCCAAAACAAGATGTAAGTGGCAAAAGATCTTCTGGTCAGAGGCTCCTGATGAATGAGGAATGGAATCAAGAGCCATCATCTTAGGCACAAGGAATAGCTTACCCTTTGCCAGATTTCTTAACCCACTTTAATGGACCTTCCCTACAGCCTCGAGTTTCTTCTCCTGTGCTTTTTGTTTCTGTTGACAAGTTCTAGCTTTACTCATCACCGTGGCCTGCTTCTTGGTTGTTATAGGGGCTTCTTGCCCCCTTCAGAGCCAGTCATGGTGCCTGCCACCCTTTCCCTAGACCCCGATTCTAATTAGAAACTGATCGCAACTCTTGGCCTTCTTCAAATAAACTGACTGAGCTACTCCCAAACTCTATCATTAATTTTCTGGGAGAAGGGGATGAATAGCCTCAATTATTACTTCTGATAAAATTGTTCCTACTACAAGGGAATTTCTCAGCTAAATCAAAAGGCTATCACATACTAATATATGTAGTTTTTCCTAATAATTCTGCTTAAAATAATCTACAATGCAGTAATTTTATTGTATGATAATTAAAATCAAAATCACCTTTCCTGTCCCAATGTAAACAATCAAACATACAAAAAAATGGAGAAGAGTAAGGAGGGAAGAGGAGGAGGAAGAGAAAAAGAGAAGAGGAAAAGGAGGAGAAAGGGGAGGAGAAGAAGGAAAAGGAGCCACTACTTCTGTCTTTACTTTTAGAATATCCAAAAAATGTTCTGTCATTTCTACTAATGGGACAGGATTTATTTTAAAGGAATATTCACAACTAGCCATTCTCCCAGAGAAGCCAGGGGTTGAGCAGACAAGCTATCAGCTCAGTACAACCAGTACCAAATACCTTAAGCTCTGGAGAGGGCTCCAGCTGGATATCCTTTCAGGCTCAGAAATAGACTGTGCCTGAATTAAAGATAATGGAGAGGACTGGAGGGATGGCTCAGCAGTTAAGAGCAATGACTGCTCTAGCAGAGGACCTGGGTCTGATTCCCAGCACCCACATGGCAGCTATGAACCGTCCTTAACTCCAGTTTGAGGGGAATCCGAAACCCTCTTCTGACCTCTACAGCATTGCACCACATGGGTGCACTCACATACATGCAGGCAATACACTCATATACATACAATAAAAACAATAAATAAAAATTTTTAAAAAAAGATGATGGAGAAAATGAAGCCAAACTTTCCACTAGGAAATGTGTGCATGTGACTTCAAACATTTTTGTGTGATGTATGTTCACAACTGAGATATAAAATGTAGGCAAAGAGAAGTTTATCTATATATAACCTGAATAAATGAGACATTTGTGAAATGTATGACTAACAAAATTACAAAATAAATGATAAAGGAAGAGTTCTTACCTTGGCTCTTTTCCTGGCATGACCATGGCTGGATGTCCGTCTCTGTGAGAGGAGGATTAGAAAATATTAAAGATTAAATATTATAGAGCAGGAAAAAAAGATATCTAAAACAATTTTTTAAAAATATTTTATTTATTATTTTTATTTTATTTGTATGAGTATATCGCCTGCCTGTATGTAAGTGCACCTGTGGCCACAGAGGTCAGAAGGGGGGGTCAGATTCCCCTGGAACTGTAGTTATGGACAGTTGTTAGCTGCCACGTGGGTTCTGGGAACCAAACCCAGGTTCTCTGCTCTTAACCGCTGAGCCGTCTCTCCAGCCCCAAAGAATGAATATACAGAAAGGGCTTTATATTTTTTTAATTTTATTATTTTTATTTTATGTGTATGTGTGTATTGCCTGCATGTAGGTAAGTGCACCTGTGTCATGCAATGTCCTTGGAGGTCAGAAGAGGCTGTTGTATCCCTTAGGACTGGAGTTGTCAGCTGCCATGTGGGTGCTGGGATTTGAACCTGGGTCTTCTGCAAGAACAACCAGTGTTCTTAACCACTGACCCATCTCTCCAGTCCTATCTAAAAAATTTTAAAGATCCTGAAGATTTTATTTAATATCATCAATTTCTATGTTTATGTGGATTTATAAACTTGCAATAAGTTCTGAATGCAATCAATCTTGCCTAATATAAGTAAATGAGTCTGTAGACTATGATCTCCCCAAGCTAAAAATTATAGTACTTGGAATTGTGTTCTTTATGGTTGGCAAAGCACTAATATGCAGAAAATGAAAGAATTATACAGTGCAAAAAAAAAAAAAACCCAACAACAACAGAAACAATTGTACACTACTCTGAACCTTGCTGTTAAACTAATTTTCATGGATATCATTCTATAGAAGATATAATGTTTTCTTAATTGATACACAGCATTCCACTGTGTGGTTATGCCATAACTTATTTTTATCAATCCCTTTGATTATACCATTTAGGATGTTTCTGATCTTTTTTTAAAAAGTATTTTATTATTTTATTTTGTGTGTATGTGTGTATTGCCTGCATGTAGATAAAAGCACCCATGTCGTGCAATGCCCGTGGAGGACAGAAGAGGATGTCAGATCCCCTGGAACTGGAGTTACAGCCAGTTGTTAGCTGCCATGTCAGTGCTGGGATTCGAACTCGGGTCTTGTGCAAGAACAGTCAGTGTTCTTAACCGCTGAGCCATCTCTCCAGCCCCAGGATGTTTCTGATCTTTATAAGTATAAACACTGATCATGTTATTGAGCATATGTAAATACAGTATATCTATCATCCATTTAAGTCTTTAAAAAGTAATACTTTAAAAAGTATTGCTAAACTGCCCTTCAAAGTGTCTATTTCATTAATGATGTATGAATCAGCCTATTTCCCTACATGGATAGTTTCATTTAACAACAAACCTATACTGGAGCCTAACATATATCAGGTACCATGTTAGTTGCCAGAGGATATCAGAGATAAAAGACACAAACAATGTCAAAAAGGAACTCATAATCCTGTTGGAGGAGTCAGACAATACACAATTACACTACAGTATATTAAATGTGTTAAAGAGTACTCATGGAGTACTAGGAGAGCACGTAGGAAATCTCAGACCTAACAATATACAAATTCATACATTCACAAGTTTTGAGTGCCTATATGCAAAGCATTGTTAGGCCATGGGGATGCAACTGCCAGCCCAAATTGACTTAATGCTGGGCCTCAAGGAACTCAACAGTTATATGAGGAAAACAGACATCAATCAAAGAATTATACAGTAGAGACCTGCAATGGGTAAGTAAGGTTGCCAAGGGAGGCCTACTGAAGAATGACATGTCTGGTGAATTTTGAAAGATAAAGAGGTATGTATTAGAGAAGGGTGAAGGAATCCAGAAAATAGAAAAGACCAAGGAAAGAACACTAAGGAGGGCACACAAAGGAAGAGAAGGCATGTACAAAATCATAATTTCTCAAACTTTTCAGCACTCATTTGTAACAATGACTAAGGAATCAGATAATACTGAAACAGAAAATGCCATGGGCAGTAGCTGGAGTTAAGGGACTAGGTCACAATATACCATGCTGGAGAACATGTAACCTAACTTGGGCAGTAAGATAAACAGAAAACGTGTATAATCAGTTCTTCACTTTATAATCAACTTTTTTTTTTTTTTGTCTTTTTGAAGCAGGGTCTCCCTGTAGCCCCAGCTGTCCTGGTCACTATGTAGACAGGGCTGCCTGTGACCCCACAGAGACCCGCCTGCCTCTGCCTCCCAAGTGTTGGGACTACAGGCGTGAGCCACCATGCCCAGCTCTACAATCAACTTTTAAAAGCAGCACAATAGGGCTGGGCGTGGTGGCACACACCTTTAGTCCCACCACTTGAGAGGCAGAGGCAGACAGATCTCTGAGTTCAAGGTCAGCCTGGTCTATACAGTGAGTTCCAGGCCAGCTGGGGCTACAGGAGGACCCTGTCTCAAAAAGACAAATGAATAAATAAATGAGTAAGTAAATAAATAAAAAGGAGCAAAACTAATGAAGCAGTAGGGACTGTGTGAAGGCAGAAAGCCCAATGAAGAGGCCATATTCTATTCAGCTGGTTATTTACAGGACACACCTGAGTTTAGCTAAGTGTGGGCTTACCCATTCTAAAAAGAATCCTAGAACCTGCATTTTATAGAACTATCTCCCTGCAAAGGGTCTTCTGAATTCCAACAGCTGATTCCAGAATATATGTCACACAGCACAAGTAGAGTAAGCCCTCTTTCTTCCCAATGTTTCAGTACCAACTCAGAACAGGAACTCCTTTGACAGCACCAATTAGATTACTGGGGAGACTGCTGGAGTAAGAATGGAGGGGTAATCGAAGCTGGAGGAGGAGTAGAGGGAAGATGGAGTAGAAATTTCATTGCTGTTGAAGGAACATGTGTTATGTTGAGAAATGGTAGAGGGGAAAGGGCTTCCCAAGGGACTGCTCCCTAGGATTCAGGGTGCACAAGATCAAAGACTTTGCAAAAGGAACAAGAGCTCCAGTAGAGGGCAGCAGTGGCTACAACACCTCTTGTGGGAGAGAAAGGAGTCAAGTCAGGAGGGAGGCAGGTTCTCCCTCTCCAACTCTATCTACAATCTATCTGTATACCCAGATAAAGACATTTTTAAACCAAATAAGTGCTTCATAGGGAATATAAAGCCTATAAATGTTCTTTTTATACTGTCTATCTTCAAGAAGTACACACAACAGGAGTTCAGAACATCATTCCTAACAGTCTCCTGAGAACAGAATAACTTGGATCTAAAAGTTCGTTTAATTATTATCTTTCACGTAATCTGACAGCACATAATTAAACATTCATCATTTACCTGTCCTGAGTATTTAAAATTCATTATAGGTTATCAGTGGAGGCTGGAAGTATAGTTGGAACTGTGGCAGACTGTCTCCACATACTTTGGAAGGATGGGCGGGGAATGACAATTTACATGTAAAAGAAAATGGAGAGAAAAGCATCCAGGACAGAGATCTGGCAAACCATAAGAGGAAAGGCAGGAAGAAGCAGGCAGCTAGAGAACAAAATATCTCAGAGCTGTCTAACCTTAATTCATCCCTTTATGTTGTTGCTGCTTTACTCTTTAAAGAAGACAAGGCCTAGGTAAATTAAGTTGTCTTGAAAACTTATGCTTCAAGTTTCCAGACCTTCCAAATTGATGTTGCTCCTGGTTTTAATCTAGCTTCCTGCTAGAGTTAATGGTCTATCTCCTGGACTTATAATAAAGACCAATCTCACCCTTGGGCATGGAAGGATTTACAGAAATTGGACTTGTGTAACAGAAGAAACTAGCAGTAACCACATAGAATAGAGCTCTAAAATGCAGGTTAGAGGAGGATTCGAATCTGGCTAGCTGGGCACCAAAGAATCCTGCAAGAAGATTGGCTGACCATCTGCTGCCAGAATATCTGTACCACTGTGTGGATCTGAACAGAAAACATAGTGACCAAAGGTGAACCCAACTCACTCAACAAGTGGCAAGTTCAGAGACTTTCTTTTCTTTTTTTCTTTACTTTTCTGCTAGTTTCTTTTCAGAAAGGCTTTCGTATAACCCAAGATGGCCTTGAACACACTATGTAGCCAAGGATGACCTTGAAATTCTGATCTTTCTCTACTTCCCAAGTGCTGGGATTATAAGAATGTACCACCAGGCTAGGTTTTATGCAGTGCTGTTGATCAAAGGCAGGGCTTTGTGCATCCTAAGTACTCTACTAACTGAGCTACATATCCATTCCTTCTTTTTGGTGTTTTGAGCAGAGTCTGACACTCTAGCTCAGCCTGACCTCAAATTCAGGGCAATCCTGCTCTTCATATTAGGTATAGAGGCATGAGGCACCATACCCAGATCTAGAGACTATTTCTGATCCAGAAAATGCTGACTGCTTTAATGCCACCAAAATATGAATTTAACACTGTATGTGAGGCCAGGCAGTTCTATTTTTTAAAATCACATTTTTCTTTTTTTTTATTATTTTTATTTTATGTGTATGTGTGTATTGCCTGCATGTAGGTAAGTGCACCCGTGTCGTGCAATGCCCAAGAAGGACAGAAGAGGCTGTCGGATCCCCTGGAACTGGAGTTAAGGACAGTTGTTAGCTGCCATGTGGGTGTTGGGATTCAAACCCGGGTCTTCGGCAAGAATAGTCAGTGTTCTTAACCACTGAGCCATCTCTCCAGCCTGCAATTTATTTTTTGATAGCTAAAATATCACAGATAATTCTATGATTTTTTTCACAGCAACTGCTTTATAGTATATTTAAATAAACCTTTCTTTTAAACATATATCACTGTACACACGTGCGCATGCACGTGTGCACGCGCAGAGGCCTATAATCCTAGCACTTTGGGAGGTGGTAACAGAAGAATCAGGTCTTCAAAGTTAGCCTCAGCTATACGGTAAGTTTGAGGTAGCTTGAGCTACATGTGGCCCTGTCTCAAAAACACCAAAAATAAGTAAAATAAAAAATGCAAATGCAGGCTCTCCCTTATACTCAACAGAGTGTACCTACCCCATGGTCCAGCTTGAGGCAGTGAGGTGTCTGTCCTGGTAGTAGGACTACTTTTTAGTTACAGACCTGAGTTGCAGAATAATTAATTGCTAAGGAAAACACCTCTACCTTCTCATTGCTGAGGAGCGCTGCCAGAGATGCAGTAGACCTACTCCCTTTGGGATTGGAGAGCAGGTGTGGCTGCCATGTTGAAGGCTATGGAAGGCACTTGCAGCTCCAGGACCACTGGCTCTGTAAGACTAAACCCACTGTGGTGGTTTGAATAAGAATGTCCCCTAAAGGCTCCACGTATTTAAACACTTGGTTCCCATTTGGTGGCACTGTTTGGGGAAGGTCATGGAACCTTTAGGAGGTATGGCCATGCTGGAGGAAGCAGGTCACTGGGAGTGGGCCTTGAGAGTGGATAGCCATGTCTTATTTCCAATTTCTCTCTCTGCTTCCTGTGCCTTCTTGAAGATGGGAGTGCTTAGCCCCTACTTCCTCCTGCCATGCCAACCCTGCCATAATGGACTCTTATCCCTCTAGAACCACAAGCCCAAACAAACTCTTCCTTCTATAAATTGCTTTGGTCATGGTGTTTTATCACAGCAACAGAAAAGTAACTAATACACCCACCATATTAATAAAGAAAAAGAGAAGGTGGACACTCCCTCACATCCCTATTCCATACTAGCCCCTTCTTCCCATAGGGTTCTCAGCACTGAACTCTATAGGCCTTTGCCAGAACAAAGCTTAGCAGTTAGCACTTCAGGACAGGTTTAAGGTAGTGCTAAATGAAGGGCAAAGGACATGCTGACTAATTGTGTTGAGGCAGGCTGTGCTTCTACCCACAAAAAACATTAATGTCAGCTTTCACAGGGAAATCCTGCCACATGTCAACTGAACTAAATATTGCCTCTTAGTTGTGGCACAGGACCACTGGATTAGACGAACTTTCCTTTGGATCCTAAAAGAAGAAAAGAATGGACTCATCTCATTAGCTGCAGAAAAACATACTTTTCTCTGTTCAAAGCACTTTGAAGCCTTCTGTTTTGACCTAATAGGACAAACTCACAGACTTCAAATGGATGCTGGTCCAACCATTTTTTGTTTTTGTAATCATATAAAGTCTATGGTTGATGATATTACTCTCCTTTCCTCCTTAAACCATTTTAGAACTTGTTCCTTTATGTTTGTGTAAGGAAGTGATTCAAAATATAGTAAAATGAATATGGAAAGCTATGCCTCAAGAAAGTTGTGAGAGTGTCTTAGTTACTTTTTTGTTGCTGTGATAAAACACCATGACCAAGGAAGCGTAAAAAAACAAAACAAAACATTTATTTAGCTTATGGTTCCAAAGGGGCAAGAGTCATGGCAGGGAGGTATGGTGGCAGAGGCGGCTGGAGTAGGAACAGAGGCTAAGTGCTAACATCTTCAAGTAGGCACAGGAAGCAGAGACTAGAAATCCAGAAAGGGCTAAGAACCCTGTAAGTCCACCCCCAGTGACAGGCTTCCTCCCACAAGGCCAGACCTTCTAAGACCCCCTCCAAAACAGCACCACCAACTACAGACAAAATGTTCAAATACTTGAAGCCTATGAGGGACACTCATTCAAATCACCACATGGAGCTTCCTCTCATGTAATAAAGGTACAGACTACATTAGGGGAAAAACACAGCAAATATAGCAAGAACCAGTGAGCTTGGGTCCAAATGGATTTGGGATTTCATTGTCTTCTTTCAACTTCATCATGGACTCTAGATAAAACAGGGTGATTTTTTTTTTTTTTCTTTCTAGAGACAAAGTCTCATGTAGCCTGGCCTTGAACTTGCTATATAGCCAAAGATGGCTGCTGATTTTAATGCCTCTACTTCCTGAGGGATTGCAAGTTGTCAAGCTGTCAACCTGATGCAAATCTAGAGCCACCTGGGAAGAAGGAGCCTTAACTGAAGAATTTTCTCAGCCAGATTGGCCTGTGGCGATGTCTGCAAGGCATTTTATTATTTATTTTTGGATTTATCTATTTTTAGTTTATGTGTATGAGTGTTTTGCCTGAAAGTATCTAAGTGCACCACATGTATGCAATGCCCACAGAGGCCAGAAGAGGGTACTGGATTGCCTGGAACTGGAGTTACAGATGGTTGTTAGCCAACATGTGAGTGCTGGGTACTGAATCTGGGTCCTCTATCAGTGCTCTTAACTGTGGAGCCATTTCTCCAGGCCCAGTGAGGCATTTTCTTAATGCTATTGATGTAGGAGGGTCCAGCCCACTGTGGATAGTGCCATTCCTAGGCTGATGGGCTTGGGTCCTATAAAAAAGCTAGCTGAACAAGCTGGAAGGAGTGAGCCAGTAAGCAGCCTTCCCCCATGGTTTTCTGCTGAGGTTCCTGTCTCTGTGCTCCTGCCCTGGCTTCCCTTGATGATGAACTGTAACCTGTAAGTTGAAATAAGCCCTTTTCTTTTGGTCAAAAGTTTATCATAGCAACAGAAAAGCAAACCAGGACTGAAGTATACACAACCAGGCCTGGCTTACTGTGATGTTTCTTGAAAGCTCTAGTTGGGGAGAGTTCATATCAGTGATTAGAGTCCTACAAATTCCCACTTTTATTCAAGTTAAAAGAGTGTGTACACAACACACTTTTAATCCTTACCTGTGTCTCCTGACGAAAAACAATATCCTCACCCTCTTTCTCAACTTCTTCCTTACTTGGAGTCTTAGATATAAACTTGTTCTTGTTTACAGATTCTTCCACCAGTTTTTTTTCTGATTCTTTCATTATTTCCAGGGTCTCCTGAGTAGTGTTACTGTTAGACATGTTCTTCAGTAGACTACAGTAGCCTCTATGGAATCCTAAAGAAACATCAGAGGCATTACACAGGAGTTATGGCTCTGTACATACATACATGACTTTTATTTAACAAACATATGCTTTTCCCCAACAGTTTCCCCACAACCTAGAAAAAAAAGGCCTCTGAAAAATGCTGTCCCTGGATTTATTTATTTATTTTTCTTTTTAAACTTTATTATGGGAGGGAGAGATGGCTCAGCAGTTAAGAGCACTGGCTGCTCTTGCAGAGGACTCAAGTTCAATTCCTAGCATCCACATGGTGGTTAACAATCATCTGTAACTCCAGTTCCAGGGAAATTCAATACCTTCCTCTGACCTCCTCAGCACTGTATGACAGGGGTGCACTTACATACATGCAGGCAATACACCTTTAATTCCAGCACCCGGGAGGCAGAGGCAGGCAGATCTCTGTGAGTTCAAGGCCAGCCTGGTCTGCACAATGAGTTCCAGGTCAGTTGGGGCTGCGGGGAGACCCTATCTCAAAAAGACCAAAAATAAATAAATAAATAAACTTCATTGTGGTAAAACTGATATAAAATATACTATTATTTAATTATTTAACTAGTTAATTTTGGTGTTTAGAGACAGGGTCTCACTATGTAGCTCTGACTGGCTTGGAACTCACTATATATGCCAGGCTAACCTCAAATGCATGCTGATTTCCCTGCCTTAGCTTTCTAAGTGCTGGGATCACAGTCATGAGCCATCTTGCCTATCTATTCACATCATTTGAAATGTACACTTTGATAAGTTATGATGTTCATAAACCTGTGAAACCATCACTACAACTGAGCTAGTGAGCACGATTACACCTCATGCCCCTTCATAACAGTCCCTCTCCTCCCATCACCACAGCCAGATCTGATCTGCTTTTTCTTTCTACAAATAACCTGCATTTTCTATATCTTGTAAGTGAGGTGCTGGGGGACTGAAGCTAGGGCCCCATGCATGCTAAATATATACTCTACCAATGAGCAACATCTGCAGCCATAGCATTTTCTAGAGATTCATATGAATGAAATCATATGTCTAGGAAATTTTCCTCAGCATAATTATTTTGAGATTCACCCACATTCAATTCTAAAGCAATATAGGATGAGTTCTTGAGCACTTTAATGTTACCATCACCATACAGAAATCTGTTCACATTTTCAGCTGTATTATTCAAGTCACTAGACTCCCTCTAGAAAGAAGAAAAATGGATAATGCTCTATTCATCAGTAGAAACACTCATTTCCCAAGAGAGCGCCTACAAACCACAACAATGTTACCAGCTTGAAGCTACACCCTATCAAAAAGTAGCTAAATTAGACAATAGTTATAGTATCTTCATTCTTTCTTTTGTGCTATAGAAAAAAAAACAAGACGAGTACTTTCTAGCCAACTATCCTCCAGAAAGATAGGGTATCTTCTTGAAGGAGAAAATCTTTGCTTTTATTGGGGTGGCCTTTATCAAACTCACTAATCAATGCCTGGGATATAACTGGTTCCCATCGATTCCCAAGGTTCTCCAAGCTGATGCTCTGCACATAGATTCACATCTTAACTGCTAAAGTCAAATTCACTTAGTTCTGAGAAATAAGTTACTTCTTACATGGATTACTGAGTGTACTGTGATCTTTCCTTCCTTGAAAAAGAAAGTGTACTGTGATCTTTCCTTCCTTAAAAAGGGGGTTGGTGAGATAGCTTAGTGGGTAAAGGCACTTGCCACCAAGCCTGATGACCTGAGTTCCATCTCTGGGATCCACACAGTAGAAAGAGAAAACCAACTCCTGGCCTCGATCTCATAGAGATCTACCTGCCTCTGCCTCCTGAGTACTGAGATTTTAAAGGCATGCACCACCATGCTTGCCCAGAAAATTTTTTAGAAAAGACTGGAAATCCAATCACATTTATTCCCAGTGTGGTCCCACAATCTGTAAATTCTAAATAAACAAATGGATAAGCAATGCTTTAAGAAAACTGTCATACACTTTTAATCCCAGCAATCAGGAGGCAAAGGCAGGCAGATTTCTTTGAGTTTAAGGCCAGCTTGGTCTACACAGTAAGTTCCAGGCCAGTTGGGGCTACAGGGAGACCCTGTCTCAAAAAGATTAAAAAAGAAAAAGAAAAAGAAAAAAGAAAACAGTCATACCAGATATTTTCTTCTTTAAATCAGTTTAAAGTTTAAGGCTTAATTAAAAGGCTCTCAAGAAGCACCAATAGTCTCATCCAATACAAGTTAGATTATCTGCAAGATTACTGCTTTGTCTGCCTTGTGGTAGCTCCTGAACAGCTGCCTGGAGTCCTAGTTTGCTTACTGATAGAAAAATTCTCTTTAAAGCTTGACATGGTGGCACACACCTATAATCCCAGCACTTGGAAGGCAGAGGCAGGCAGGATCTCTGCGAGTTCAAGACCAGCCTGGTCTACATAGTGAGATCCAGGTCTGCTAGGGTTACATAATGAGACCCCCATCTCAAACAACAACAGCAGAAGCAGCAAGAACAACACAGCAGAGGGGGGAGGGTTCTCTTGAAAGGGACAGATAGTCATCTGTACAATCATGAAATCACAAAGTTGAATTTAAAGATGAGACATACCGAAAGTAACTAACTACAAAAGTAAATGGTTGACAACTGGGCATGGTGGTGTGTGCCTATAATCTCAGAATCTGGAAGGCTGAGGGAGGAGGATTATTTCAGTCCATGAGTTTGAGACCACCCTGGGCAAGACTGGGAGGGAGAGAGGGAAGGAAGTTATTGTTTATGACCATAGCACCTTAAAGGTGTCCAATCTCATCTGATCTCAGAAGCTAAGGAGGATCAGGCTTGGTTAGTACTTGGATGAGAGAAATAAAAGTCACTATTCGCCAGGCGTGGTGGCGCACGCCTGTAGTCCCAGCACTCAGGAGGCAGAGGCAGGAGGATCTCTGTGAGTTCAAGGCCAGCCTGGTCTACATAAGTGAGTTCCAGGACAGCTGGGGCTACAGGGAGACCCTGTCTCAATAAGACCAAAAAAAAAAGTCACTATTCTATACGTATTGAGTCAGTGCTACAGATGTTTATGGAGTTATAGCCTACAAGTTTTCTTTTTTTAATCACTGGCATATATATTTAAATATTTTATTTATTATTTTTATGTGTGAGTATAAAGCCTGCATGTATGTATGTGCACCCATGTTGTGCAATGCCTGCAGAGGTCAGAAGAAGGCATCAGATCCCCTGGAACTGGAGTTATAGATGGTTGTTAGCCACCATGTGGGTGCTGGGAATCAAACCCAGGTCCTCTGCAAGAGCAGCCAGTGCTCTTAACTGCTGAGCTATATCTCCAGCCTCATATTTATGTATTTTATTATCATATACCAAACATATATTTATGGATTGGTGAGTTTAAAATATTTTTTAAAGTTATATGTGTGTGTGTGTGTGTGTGTGTGTGTGCGTGGTGTGCAAGGCACATGTGTGAAGATCAGAGGACAACTTGTAGAAGTTGGTTTCCTCCTTCTACCACTTGGGTCTTGAGGACAGAACTCAGGCCATCAGGTCTGGCAGCAAGCACCTTTACCTATCCATCCATCTTGCTGTCACTAGATGAGTTTCATCATTCTGTCCTGATAAGTAAATTTAGCCTTAATTTTATTTAAAGTACTAGTAAAACTTATGACATGGGGCTAAGGAGTTGGCTCAGTTCATCTCCAGTGAAGTCAGTCTTTACTTTTAAACACAACCATTCCTTTTGGAAATACCTTTGTGAAAAAGAGGCAAAATTCATCTTCCTGTTATTTGTTCCCACTGGTTCAAGTTTAGCTTTCTGTGTCAGTCACAAACAGCGAGCATACTCTTGCCTCCATATTAACCCAATTACAAAGGGCAGTTTCTTATTTCCTTATGTAAACACTTCTTGCTTTTTAAAAAATTTTATTATTTTTATTTTATGTGTATGAGTGCATTGCCTGCATCTGTGTAAGTGCACCTGTGTCATGCAATGCCTGAGGAGGTCAGAAGAGGGCATCGGATCCCCTGCAACTGGAGTTATAGACAGTTGTTAACTGCCACGTGGGTGCTGGGAATCAACAATGCTCTTAACCACTGAGTCATCTCTCCAGCCCCACTTCTTGCGTTTTTAAGCCAGGTCTTCAACTCATACACTTTTACTGTTTTAAGCCTCATCACTTTGCTTTAGGATAAAAGAAAACCTTCCCTGACAGACAGAGGAAAGTCAAGTCATGTTGAAGAGTTGCTCTTCCATAGTCATGGTCACTCAAAGATACACTAAACACTTAACCAAACCTCCCTTCCTCTGCCCTCCTGTTTGTTTTGTTTTCTGTGAAACAGGGTCTCTAGTGGCTTAGACTTGACATTACTATGTATCCAAGAATGATCTTAAACAAACCCTGCCTCCACCTAAGTGCTTGGACTAGAGGCATGTGCTACCATACCCTTGGCCTGTTTTTTCCCCTCCCCTCTACCCTCTCCCCTCTCCCCCTCCTCTCTCCTCTCTCTCTCTCTCTCTCTCTCTCTCTCTCTCTCTCTCTCTCTTCAGAATTAGGGCTTTGTTATGTAGAACAGGATGACCTTGAACTTGCAGCAATTCTGCTTCAGCCTCCTAAATGCTGTGATTACAAGTATGTGCCACCATGCCTCAATTAAAGAGTTTCTTTTGGGGCTGGAGAGATGGCTCAATGGTTAAGAGCACTGGCTGCTCTTGCAGAGGACTAGGGTTCCCAACACCCACATGGCGGCTAACAACCATTCATAACTTCAGTTTCAGGGGAATCCAACATCCTCCTCTGACCTTCACAGGCATTGCACAACACAGGTGCACTTACATAAATGCAGACAATACACTCATATTCATATATATATATATATATATATAAACACTTTTAAAAGTTTCTTTTATGGGTCTTTTAAAA